AAATGACGTCACGCTTTTTTGACGATTTTTACCTCCCCCCCCCCCCTCCCCTCCGTCACACGTCGTCACAAAAAGCTAGACCCCCCCCCTATTTCGACGTCACACTTCAAACTACACCCCCCCCCCTCAAAATTGCAGTTGAATTTTTTTTTTAAACATCGATATTTTTCTAAAATCTTGTCTGAACTCTGTCAAAATAGAGTATTTTAATCAATTCCTATTACAATTTATTAAAAAAGTTTTCTAAAACGCGAAATAACGTCTAAAATTCGTTTTCTAACATAGTTTTTTTTATGATGCAAAAGTGTGACGTCGCACCATCTGAACCCCCCCCCCCCTCCCCCTCATCACACACAGTCACAAAATTACGGACCCCCCCTCCCCCCTACGAGTGTGACGTCATTTATGGACGACCCCTTTGGCGTAACTAGGAATTGGGTGTGTTCGGGGGAGGGGGGGGGGGGTGGCAGTCTAACCGGTATTTACCTACAACACCCTGCGACGCTCTCCGCATTTGTTCTTCTACATCGCCCTTGTGGAGGCTGATTAACGCATGCTTTACTTAACACACTGGGATGTAGTGTGGCAACAAAAAAAAAAAATCGCACGCCGGCAACATTTCATGAAATGAAATGCCGACATATATTTAGATTACATTCATAAAACTCAAGCCTTAATCAGCCTGTAAGTGTCAGTCTTTCTTACTTAAAATTTGAAATCTCGTTAGCCAAAAAAGATATACTTTTTTAAACAAAATTAATTGTTTAGAGCGTGATTTCTGTTGATAATAAAAACATGTGAGTGATTTGTTTCTAGGCCCAAGCTTTGAGATTTTAATATACCAAGATTTCCAAAAAACGCATTTTTTTTTTTACTTAAAATACTTTTATGAAAACCTTTTTACAGATTCAAATAAATAATAACTAACTATACGCTTAATTTTTTTTAATCATAATTTATCGTAGCTTTTTTTTTCTTTAAGCTAGCTTCTTTTTGTAGTTTATCATTATCAATGTTAAGGATTTTAAATAATAATAACGCAAAGAACTCTTATATAGATTTTTATTATTTTTACCGATTTTATAAAAATAGTCACTTATTTTTTGAAAATACTAGTTGGCAAGTTCATGAACGAGGTGTTAGGGTATTACTTGCAAGCCTATTTAATAGCTATTAGTGCCAATGGTTATCCCGTGCTAATATATAAAGGACAACTAAAATATATAGATCTAGATCTAGGTTTAACTCAGGGTAAAACATTTCACAACGTCCAGCGGATGCATTATCTTGTAGGTTAACACGAATATTGAACTAAAATGGTACTTTGCAATGTTTTCCATAGTAACATATATATAAACTCTAAACATTTTTTTTAAACTTAGAGCAATTACTAGCTACCAACTAATCACGACCTTAAGATCCATTTTAGTAATCCACTTGTAAACATTTTATTCCGCCATATTTGTTCTGCACCCATATTGCATTTTAATATTTAAGTGCACAAAAAATAGTACTTTGCGCACCGTATTTGGTGCTCATTACTGTACATCTTAAGATAACAATATATTAAATCTACGACAACCAATTTAGGAATGATGATTTTGTAATTCGTGTAAAGTTGTAAAGTAGACATTTTTTATTTTGTATATATTTCATATACAGTATACAAATTTCAATTTTATTTCTTCATCCATGTTGTATTTCCAGGCCATTGGTGTGTTACGTTGACATACTATTCATAGATTTGATTAAATGGATCTAGTAATTTATAATGAGTGTTCAGTATTTTCGATACTACGACTACGAGACACACCCCATGTGAATATTGGGTTATGTTTGATGGAGTGTGTGTATTGGGTTGTATTTGATGGAGTGTGTGTATTGGGTTGTGTTTGATGGAGTGTTTGTATTGGGTTGTGTTTGATGGAGTGTGTGTATTGGGTTGTGTTTGATGGAGTGTGTGTATTGGGTTGCGTTTGATGGAGTGTGTGTATTGTGTTGTATTTGATGGAGTGTATGTATTGGGTTGTGTTTGATGGAGTGTGTGTATTGGGTTGTGTTTGATGGAGTGTGTGTATTGGGTTGTGTTTGATGGAGTGTGTGTATTGGGTTGTGTTTGATGGAGTGTGTGTATTGGGTTGTGTTTGATGGAGTGTGTGTATTGTGTTGTGTTTGATGGAGTGTGTGTATCGGGGATGTGTTTGATGGAGTGTGTGTATTGGGTTGTGTTTGATGGAGTGTGTGTATTGGGTTGTGTTTGATGGAGTGTTTGTATTGGGTTGTGTTTGATGGAGTGTGTGTATCGGGTTGTGTTTGATGGAGTGTTTGTATTGGGTTGTGTTTGATGGAGTGTGTGTATCGGGTTGTGTTTGATGGAGTGTGTGTATCGGGGATGTGTTTGAGGGAGTGTGTGTATCGGGGATGTGTTTGGTGAAGTGTATTTGGTTGTGTTTGATGGAGTGTGTGTATTGGGTTGTGTTTGATGGAGTGTGTGTATTGGGTTGTGTTTGATGGAGTGTATTTGGTTGTGTTTAATGGAGTGTCTGTATTGGGTTGTGTTTGATGCAGTGTCGATGTTGGGTTGTGCTTGATAAAATGTCAATGATTTGTTGTTTTATATGAATGCTTCCATTTAAATTATCCTATGATTTTTCAATTATCTTTATCTATTTGTTTTTCAGATTGCTTTGTCTGATTGGGTGGATTTGTAAGTGTTGCTTTAAAGGATTATTTTGTAATGAATGTAATTGTTTATTCATTTAAACATTGTTGTTAAATTTTTTTCTGTTTTATTTTTATGATAAGTAGTTAATTAATTGCTCATGAAACTCTCAGTCCTAACATTTTAGTTTATCAAGTGTGTCTGTATGCCTGCGAAAATGAAATTACGATACTTTAAGTACCTGTTTAGTTACGTTGATGTACTGTCTTTTACAAATAGAACTTCTAATTCTAGTTTTGTCAAATTTAAAGGGATTTCATGTAGACAGAAGTGGTACTTATCCACCTCTGATTTCTCAAAATCCAGAACATAGATTACCGTTTATAGATCTATCAGATGAAAGAAATTTAAGAAAAAAATGTTATTTTGAATACGCTGATGTATGTCAACTTCTGAACAGTTTTAAGTAATAGTAAGTTGTACTTTACTTCCTTGTGAACACTACAAATGGATTACGGTTTCCAGTTAGCTTTACAAAATTTCATATATACAATTATAATATCTTATACTGAGAGTACTTGTATTTCTTCAATAACTTCCAATGTTTAGAAATTGTTCTCAACTTGGCTCTGTTTTGTTCTGAAACCAGCGTAGTTTTTTTTTTCTTTCAGGGGATTAGCTCAGTTTACTTCTCTAAAGTCTTTTGAATAGTTGTACGATCTTTGGCACTTGAAAGTAGGTATTAAACAGCAGAAAAAAAAACATATTTTGTTGTCATGGAAACCTGAAAAACCTCCGCCATATTGAAAATGTTCGGTACTATTAAAAAAGCTTGTGTTTGTTTATGTTTAAGCGGCGTATATTTCAGCATACAATAAAACTAGTGTCAGAATTCTACAAGGTTTAAAAAATCGTACCGTTTTTAAGGTTCAAACGTTTAAAAATTTGCATATTATATACATAATCCTTTTTTCTATGAAAGCCATCACAAAAGTTGTATTGGTGAATGAGGAACAATTACTGAATATATAGTGGGCATTGTTTAATAAATAAAAAAATAGTAGGCTATTTTAGTGTGTAAAAACTGCCAACTAAGGGGGGAAAAAGCGAAAAGTAATGAAAATTAGTTTACGAAAATACTATTTCTGTTCAATTTGTAAAGCCGATTGTAAGCTTTGAATGTTTTCGAGGAGATGTAAAAAAATTACGCGTATCAAATACATGAGAAATCCAGCTCTCCAATGAAACCAAATACAACTTGATGACAGATAAAAACGTGTGTAAGATTGAGAAAAACTGATTATTATAATCTTTATTTAGATCGCAACGTCTGTGTGTTTGTTTGTTTGTTTGTAGGTTTGTGTCGAATCTTTTAACTAATGCAGCAATTTCGTTTCAACTTTTCAGATACGTTCCACTTTGACAACACTAAAAGTCTATCTTTTTGTAATTTAATTAGATGTTTAGTTACTTTAATTATTTATAGTAAAAAAAAAAATAAACGGGTTCGAAACTAAAGGGGGATTTAAAAAAAAAAAAACTCGATAGATTACTTAACAAAAGGATAATTACTAGCTGAATGCGAACAGTCTGGTAAGCTTTGGTTCACGCGAATCTTGACTATCGCAGTGCCGGTGGATCTTGAGAAGGTGTTAGTGGCAGATAATAAAGTTATTAAACTATCTGCAACTAAAGGGAGGTAGTAAGATAACAAATAATCATCCTTCACTCTATCAGCTTGCTAATGTCTGTAATTTGTGGTCACGTTCGTCTGTTTCACGGGGAGATAATCATATTTCAGATATCGTGAGCTACTGGTTCTGTTTTGAAGCAAATATTTTTAGTCGTGTCGACTTCTTAAATTAGGAATCACTAAATATAGAAAATAAAACAAATATTAAAAAATTGTTTAGGGACAAGATTTCAAATGCACTGAAAAAAAAGTAAAACTAATGTGCTTTCTGTAATAAAAACTTTGACTGCTCAAGAGATCTTTTACATATTTTAGCGACAAAAACTTATTAAAAACTGATTAAAGAAAGCAAATTAGTTTTATTTTCTTTTTTTTTAAGTGCATTCAAAAACTTTTTGCTATAATTTTTTTTTTTATATTTGTTTTATTTTTTAAATAATAATGAGGTCACACAATACCTTTTTTTCTCGTTAAAGTTTATATTTTCGTAATAGAAAAAAGAGCAAAGTATCCGAAAGTACTATACCCATTTAGCCAAAAATCAGGATATTGGTGAATTTTTTAACGCGCATAACCCTTAGGCAAACACATTTTATTATATTATTAACAACATAGTTACTCAAAAAATATCAATATTTTGCATTTGCCTTTATTGTTGAATGTTTCTTTACAATATTGTTTGTGTGCATGTATATACAAATACAATCTATTTTAATAGTTACAAGATCAATATGTAAGAGGTATTTTAATGTTATTTCATCCTAATACACAAAAAGATCGTACACAAAAGATGGGTAAAACGTCTTTAAATTAAGCTCATTTGTTTATGAGAAAATGTGAGGAGCCAGGCGTAAAATATGCGAGGAACCAAAGTGGATTATGTGTGGAGTTTGTGCTGATCCATGTGTGGAACCTATAGTGGACTGTGTGTTGAATCTGTGGTAGGCTGTTTAAGGAATTAGCTGAGAAGACATGTAGAAGACGAACATTAAAAAAAAAAAATTAAAAAAAAAATCTTAAAAATTGGTTTGAAAACCTTTAAAACAATTGAAATAGGAGTCCAGGACCTATAAAGGTTGCTGGGGTTTCAAGATCAATTTTAGTTTAAACAAAGGTGGGTAGAAACAAAGATGCTCTACCCAGGATTATTTTTGGTGATGAACACACAATAAAATAAATTAATCCCGTAGCGGTTTATAACTACAGAAACTAATTAATCTCGTGTTTCCTTAGACATAGATAAAAAATGAAAACACCAAAATGGATCTGGTTAAAAAAAAAACATTGTAGTGGCTACAATACCATGAGTATCATCAAAAAGCTAAACAACCACACTTCAGACTAAATCCAATCTTTGTTTAGCAGTTCCGTGAACATGACCAAGATTGCTCCGACGCAGATTATGATAGGATCTGTAGAATACAAATGTTCAAATATCTATACATTCTTAATAAAATATGGCACACTACGTTTATATTATGTTAATATAAATGTACTAGACATTAGGTCTGATATTTTCGATGCCACTCAGGATAATACAGTGGCGTAGCGAGGTCGGGTGTCACCGGTGCGGCACTTAATGGTGTCACCCCTCAGAGGCGTAGCGACCTTTCCCGGTGACAAACTTTCAAATTTTCTATTTGCAACCCCCTCAAACTTTCGATTTGCACCCCCCCCCCCCCCCCCGCCGTCGAACTTTCGATTTGCACCCCCTCAAGTATTTCTCTATATGTTTTGCTATTTTTCGCCTTGGTGTCACCCCCCTAAATGGTGTCACCCGGTGCGGTCCGCACCCCCCGCCCCCCCCCCCCCCCCCTCGCTACGCCTCTGCGATAATATTATAGTGACCAAGGCACCGGCACTTGAATTTGGAAACCCAAATCAAGAAGTACCGATACACTAGATCACAATACGCATCTGACAAGTTCGTACAGCTTAACAGGGAGTGGGACTTAGAACATCGTCTAAGTAGTCCAAAGTACTCAAGATTCAACAGAAAGGCAAAACCTGCTATCAAGTCGATACAAACACAGTTTGTTAAAAACAGTGAGGATCGGCGTTTGGCGTAGCTACACCAGCAAAACACGCCTGGTCAAACAGGTAAACACCCGTGGTCAAACAGGTAAACACCCGTGGTCAAACGGGTACAAGCCCGGCGTGTAATCATTTATCAACAATCTGTCACCAGCTCCCCAAAACCTGGGACATGAGCAAGAAGTGAACTAAAGATAGAGCCAGAGACAAGACCTGTTGTCTGAGCTGTGTGTGAATATGAATAAATTACTAAAGTTAACTCGAAGAATCGCGTTTGTTCTGAGAGAATCCATTTATTTAACGTGTGTGTGTATAAGTGGGTATGGGTGTAAGTGTAAGTGTGTTTGGGTGAACGTATACGTGAGTGTTTGATATTTTAACATTTTTTTCATGTTACATTTGAGAGATCATTAAAATGTAATTTTATCAGAGAATATTAAACAGACGAAGGACTACCTACCTGCTTGTAGCTGGAGTTTTCCGTTAGTGGAGGCCGAAAAAGCATTAGTTCTCAATGCCACTGCAAGTAAATTTAATTAATACAGAGCTTATATACAGATAAGGTAATTTCAAGATAGTGTTAACCAAAGACGTAACACAACATTCAACGCACGTTTTTGCAGACAACATAACATAAATCATGTTAGAGCACATATTGTTCAATGTTTGCAGACAATTTAAAATACACATGAGGTTTTCATCTATAAAAGTAAAAAGTAAAGTTTACCTTTCAAACCTGACGGTCTATGGGGCAAGTGAAGTAGAGTTCACTTGTTTCTGTGACCTCGGCATATGAAGAGATAGTGTGGTCAACACTATGCCCAGCCGCCTTTACTTTCCTTAACGTGAGTTAGGTACCCATCAGAGTTGGGTGGACTCAGGGACGGTCTACTGACTTGAACCCGGATTCAAATTCGAGACTTACGGGTTAGCAGTCCAGCTCTCTATCGCTAGACCACTCCGTCCCTTTTTCATCTATACCCTCATGTATATATCACAGACAATGAACTTAGTCCAACATTGTGGCTTAATGAAATAATGCTACCGTTAATATTATTTTAATCTCTACTGAAAACATCTGCCTAAATAAGCATGTTCTCAAACTGCTCTGACTCTAGTTAAAAGCTGATAAATCAGAAGTCCAATGTTTACATTAGCTGAACAATCAATATTCAATGATAAGCGTTGGTGTTTTTGGTTAACAATTTCTTTATACCTTTAATACTCTGATATTAAATCTCTTGTTTAAAAATCTAGTCATCTTCTCCGAAGACACATTTTAGCGTAAGGTCATTAATTATTAGCTTTTATTTTTATACAAGTCATATAATCATGGTTGTAAATTTTGAGTTTCATGGCTGCATTTTCTGCCGATACTTTTTGCAAAATATGATTTTTTTTTTTTAGTTTGGTATTTAAGAATATTTAGTTTAAAAAGCTAAGGGCTTAAGAAATATCAGTAACGTATCGAGGGGGTGGGGGTGGGTGGGGGGGCGGGGCGGGGGAGGGGGGGGACGGGACATATGTCCCCGGGCGCCGACCTTAGGGGGCGCCAAAATGGGTTGGAAAAATAAATTGAAAGGTTGAGGGGATGCAAATCGAAAGTTTGAGGGGGGGGGGGGGGGGGGGGGGTGCAACAAATCGAAATCTTGAGGAGAGGTGCAAATCGAAAAGTTTGTCCCCGGGCGCCGGGAAGGATCGCTACGCCTCTGGGAAATATAAATGCAGACGTAAAGATAGTCAGGAGGTTTGTATATTTGTCGAGTTTGAAATTTCAAAACAAGACGTCATTAGGAATTAGTTTAAATTGCTATCTTACAACAATAGCACCAACACAATAAAAAGCAAACAGACCATAAAACCACACACATACATACACACAAATATATAAAGCAGATGAACAAATAAACCTTGAGTGATCTCCCCTAAACCGTCTCGAATATTCTTATATAACACTACGCAGGGATGGCAACTCGGGATATGAACGTGATTTTTACAAGCTTTCATGAATCCATTTTTAGTTACTTAAACTTTTAAAAAAATAATAGAATCTCGTAGAAAAAAGAATTGTGCACCAAGTGACGCCAAAAAATGTGCGGAATAATAATAGTAATAATAATTCACCTGCGGTTTTATTTTGTGGAGAAATCGGAAATAGTACTAATTACTACTTCCGGTCATCAGAAATGACTCAAAATTCGATAGAAAGAGATAATTAGATTTTTTACTTGTGAAATTTCATTTATCTATCTGGAATAGTACTCAAGTTGTAGGCTTTAAAAAATCTAAAGCAGAACAAGTGTCCCTTCTGGTTACCGGTAAACGATGAAAAGTTGACACAGAACTACAAATTTAATATAATACTTGTAGATGAAATTTCATCAACATAGCTGTAACTGTACTCAAGTTATCGTGTTCACAGACACACATACACACACACACACACATACACAGACATTCTGAGAATATTGCAAAATTATGTTTTTCCGACTCAATGAGGTGTAAAACGTCGATTTTTTTCTAGCACGATAACAATACTTTCTCTATAATATGTATACGAGAAAGTAAAAAAAAAGACAAAAGCATATACATTTTAAACAGAGTCGAAGCTTGTGGGAAGCAGGGTTTTGCATATCTTATTGGAACCTTTTTTTTTTAAAAGAAAGAATTCGTCGAATTTATCTCTAGAAATAAAATATTGTTTTTCTTTCCTAATGAACTTTCCTTATACCCTGTCAAGAAAACTTGGAAACGCCACACAGTTTATTTTTTTAAAATTACCTGGTGGATTTGAGACATCGAACTTTTCGCTGACATTATAGGCTCTATGATCCCATGGTAACGATTCATATGATGCCAGTCGATACCAGGAATTCTTGAATTCTGGACGGGATCTGAATTTGTAGGGATTGCTTTCATCTTCGCAGCAGCAGTGATCATCATCACTAATTTGTTTACACCCTGTTCTAAAACAGCGCCCTGGGAACAAGCATTCCTAAGACAAACCAATCCAAAATATGTAGATGAATTAATTAATAAATACATTTATTTGTATATGTATATATGTATATACAAATATAGGGATACCTATACCCATACCCATACCCACACCCACACCCACACCCACACTCACACCCACACCCATACTTATACCCATACCCATACCCGTACCCGTACCCGTACCCGTACCCGTACCTATACCTACACCTACACCTACACCTACACCTACACCTACACCTACACTTACACCTACCCCTACACCTACACCTATACCTATACTTATACCATTACGTATAACTATACTTACACTTTTATCTATAATTACAGCTACAGCTAGAACTAGAACTAGAGCTATAGCTACAGCTACAGCTACAGCTACAGCTACAGCTACAGCTACAGCTACAGCTACAGCTATTGCTACAGCTGTTTTGTTTTGTTGTGTTGTGTTTTGTTTTGTATTGGTTTGTTTCGTATTGTTTTGTTTTGTTTCGTTTCGTTTCGTTTCGTTTCGTTACGTTTCGTTACGTTTCGTTACGTTTCGTTAAGTTTCGTTTCGTTTCGATTCGTTTCGATTCGTTTCGTTTCGTTTCGTTTTGTTTTGTTTTGTTTTGTTTTTATTTGTTTTGTTTTGGTTTTTTTTTTTTTTTTTGTTTTGTTTTGTCAGCTTCGATTTGTTTTGTTTTGGTTTGGTTTGCTTTGGCTGGGCAGGTTTATATTTGTCTATGTTAGCCATAGACAAAAATACTTCACATACACTCTTTACAAAGAGAAAGAGTATAATTCTTTAGGATTAGCCGATTTACCTACCTATGATCTTTAAAATTCGTATTAAATATAGTATGCAGAGCTCACCTTAAACCAGTTTCCTGAATTGTGAGAACAATCCTTATCTTTATTACAATTCTCCAAGTAAATCCATATGCAGCCACCTTTATTGGGACTGAAATCACCCACTATGTTTCCATAAATGCGACCGGTGTAGACACAGTCGGTGACACCCTTGCACTCTTTTTCATACCCCTCGATTGTCATCTTTAATCCTGCAAAGCTGAGAGTGCCATCTGAAATGATAAAATATATCTGACTATTGGACGTCTCTTCATAAATATCAGAAATTAAAAATAAATGTTTTGAATGCCGTTGACATTTAATACACGATTTAAGTTAAATTACCCACATGACAAAACAATTTAAAATTACTTATTACAATGATCTTATACATAAAAAGTTGATTCTTAATATAGTAAGAGAAAGTCTCCTAAAAGTAAGATTACTCTTTTGATCATATAGCTCAAAATAGCAGGCGAAGCAGAGTCTACGTGTATCTGTGACATCTTTACGATGTGAAGTTGTTGTCATATATATGTCAATTTTTGTGTTTAAATGTACTTTACATGAGTGAGGCACCTGAACAAACGGAGTTGGGTTTGAGACCGTATTAAGTAGCGATTTAGTTTGAGTGTAATTGATCGCCTGTGAAAATATTTTGCGGACAAAGAGAAAGAGAGAGAGAGAGAGAGACACAGTGAGAGAGAGAGTTTTGCGAACATTGTTTTTTTTATATTAGTATTGTCAAACTAAGATACCTACCTAGAAGACTAAAGATACAAAAAAGACGTATTGAAAGTATCACGTGATTGTTCATTCTTTCATTCATCTGATGATTCTGTATACATATGAAGGATTATTTACATTGTTGTTAGATTGGTTAATAGAATAAAATCGTCATAAATTTTGCCACTCTAAATCTCGAGCTGTACAGTTTAATATAATGTGGACTTGACAATAGGTTTATTTATGAGGAAAACTGTACATTTTCTACAAATATATCAAGGTCATTCAAGCAGATTAACTCTACTGTACAGATTCGTAAGGTAACCTTGCTTTGCCTTATAACCCTACCAATGGACATGAGCGAGAAAAGTCTCACAGGTATTTGAGAGGCTCTTTGATTATTTTAAATATCATACACGACGTATAAAATCCTGTCCTTGTGGTATTTTTAGGACTTTACAAATTATATTCGGTAACTAAATAAAAATTTATAAAATTTAAAAAAAAAGTGTTTCCGCGTGTTATGTCAACATAAACATCGGCATCCTGTTTTTCGATAGGTAGCATAAATTTTATTGAAAACAAAAAATGGCAGAACTAGGACGTATGGTATAAATTTGCATTGTTATTTAAAAAACATTATCTGCAAAGTTTTTAAACAAACAACTATGATATGGGGCTGTCAGAAATCAAACACGGAGTTCTTGTACAGCCAATGAATGTTTGTCTTACGAAAGTGAAACATCATATAACTTAGGCTTGATGAAAATAAATAGAAATGTAGCCTTAAACTCAACAAATTATTGTAACATTCTCTGTATTTGCAACTTTTATTACATTGATTCAAAAATTCTATTACATTTCTGAATTATTTTTAGGCTTAAGTTTTAATTTTTAGCGCAATTTCCATTCTGGAGAATTGCGTTTATTAACCCGTCATTTCTGGATGGATGAATGGATGGATGGATGAATGTATGAATGTGTGTCCGCAGCTTTAAGTCGTATCTCCTCCTCAACGAAGCAGTATCGAGGACTAGTTCCAAAGCAATTATGTTAAGCAAGTTACGAGGATGAACATAGGCCATAAAAAATCCGGGTTTCTTTCATGTATTTCTCGGAAAAGCCAAAAAACCTCGAAAAAATGCAGTTTTTGGCCCATATCTTGGCAACCAGACCACTTAGCGACTTGAAACATGTACCAATCGATTCCTGCCATAATTTAGGACAATATTGCCTAAGAAAGTTTTCAAAAATATCCTATCGTTCGGTCACAAAATTTTTTTTTCATTAATTAAAATTTGGACCGAATTAGTAGGCATTTTTATCCAACCACACCACACGCGTCATCACGTTCAATAGCTGCGCCATCACGTTAAATGGCTGCGTCATCACGTTCAGTAGCTAGGCGCGCAATGATTTTTAGTCAGGTAACTCTATTGTAAATAAAACATGTATTTTAACCAATGGTTTTACTAACCCTGCTCTTGATTTACGCTACGACAGAGCTATTATTAGATAACATAAGGAAATTGCGCTTAAATGTCACTAGACTTTTTAATTAACTTGTTTTAAATTGTTTTTATCGTCGCAAAATCTAAATAAAAAGTTTTGATCGCAAAATCTAAATAAAAAGTTTTTTTATCCATTTCAACAATAAGATGGAAGGATTCTTGTCAAATAGGTCAGCTCCATTGGTAAGGTCTAACTTCATTACCGAAACCTATATCAATTTAGCTGGAAACTCAATGGAACAATTAGCAATTAGTGCTCTCTGCTATTTTTTAAAGATCCACATTTACGAACAGAAACATATTTTGTAATATATATATACATATATATATATATACATATATATATATATATATATATATATATATATATATATATATATATATATATATATATATATATATATATATATATATATATATATATATATATTATATAGGTAGGTATATATATATATATATATATATATATATATATATATATATATATATATATATATATATATATATATATATATATAATATATATATATACATTACATATATGCTTATAAATTAAAATATAGCACGCTAGATTAGGTGTCATTCCATAATTTTAATTTACAATGGAGTTTATGCACTTTACTTAAAATTTAGATAGACTCAACAAAAAGAATATGTTCCACTGTATAGTTGCTAATATATCCGATCTAGATCTAGATCTATAATACATAGATATTTGAATTTGCAACACATCGACCGCCTAAATTAAAAAAAAAACCTGATGTAAATTAACTAATGTCTGAAATTTAAAGAAAAACACTGTCGATGTAAACAAACTACTTACAGTAATTATACAATATTTCCTCTTTTTACTGATGTAAATACAATTATTTTATTAGATCTAGATTATAGACTCTAGATGACAGCGGAATGGAGAGTCGCCATTTTTTGTTTACCCAATGACGTTATACGCATTCACGTGACTTTTTAGTAGCACAATGAGAACAATTTTGTTTAGAGAGTATATAAACTATCCATCCTATTATAATATAATAGTATAATTTTAATAAAATAGCTATAAATAAATGTGTTTAGGGGTCATCCATAAATGACGTCACACTCGTAGGGGGGAGGGGGGGTCCGCAATTTTGTGACGATGTGTGATGAGGGGGAGGGGGGGGGTTCAGATGTTGCGACGTCACATTTTTGCATTATAAAAAAGCAATGTTAGAAAACGAATTTTAGACGTTATTTCGCGTTTTAGATAACTGTTTTAATAAATTGTAATAGTTTAGACAAGATTTTGGAAAAATATCGATGTTTTAAAAAAATTCAACTGCAATTTTGAGGGGGGTTGTAGGTTGAGGTGTGACGTCATTTTAGGGGGGGGGGGTCTGACTTTTTGTGACGACGTGTGAAGGAGGGGAGGGGGGGGAGGTAAAAATTGTCAAAAAAAGCGTGACGTCATTTATGGATGACCCCTTATGTATATATATATATTATATATATATATATATATATATATATATATATATATATATATATATATATATATATATATATATATATATATATATACATATATATATATATATATATATATATATATATATATATATATATATATGTAATGTAAATCATTCAGTTTGCATGTTTTAGCTTCACTATAATGATGTAATGTTACTTGTAAAATACTTCATCTTTTTACCGTCAGTTCCCAAGACAAAGGGTGCATATAAAACACAGTTCATTCTCAATTACGTCGACCACACCGTCCACCATTTTAAAGTAATCATATACAAATAACATATTTACTTTTGAAATATTTATTTCCATATTGAAGTAAAGTTGAATCAAAAACACGAAAGCTTTTTAAATAAATTAATGAAAATAATGTATACATTATAGTTTTTAACAATAGTAATATATATTATGTTTAAATAGCATGCAGATAAAAATGGCACGTAACCCATTCTATTTTTTTCTAACAGTTCAAGTTCTACAACTCGAAAAAAAAACAACCGCTCAACAAGAATAACTGAAAATCAATTTACACTAGGATATGTAATGCATGACTGATCAACACACTTATATATACACATGTCAAGTCCATTAGAATTATAATTATCACCGCAACTTTACATGTACACATTAATAACCATAAAAACTAGACATATACATCCCCTCGCAATTTCACGTACACACATGCATTCATCGTCACTTACTTTTACACAGGTACTTCACTCTACCATTTCACTTACGCAAAAACATTACTTTAATATTACATTTATACACTAACAACTCATGTTTTTTACTTTCGCAACTCTACATCCAAAATTACACATTCACATCACACTACAAATAAAACGTAGACATTATTTTACGTGATTATGTAATTGCAGTTGTTCGTCCTATTCCTACATTTCTATATCTTACACAAGCATTACTTACACTAATATTTTATAACACCAAAAGTTCAGTAATTTATTCATCTTTACGATGCCATGCATGAACGGTAAACTATGAAAACTAACAAAACAACACATACATCTACACCGTTGATCATTCGCTGCTGTCGTTGATGGAACTTTCAGAACTCGACAACTCGTTACCACTCTCGTCATTGGAACTACTGTCACGACCAGAATGTGATTGTTTTGTGTCCAGCTTTTGGTCCAGTTTCTTTGGTTCTGGGGAAGGAAAGCGGTGTGTTTTAAATATGGAGAATATATTAATATCAAGTTGATATCATCATATTAACTTGACGTCCGCATGTAAAATTGACGCGAGTTATGAGTAGGGAATAAAGTTAATACAAAGTTGACGTCCATAGAAATTGACGTCACTACACAAAGTTGCCATGCAGACATATTACCAACCAAACTTAACGTCTCTACATAATTGTTACGTCCTCACTTAAAATTGACGTACATACATAATCTCGACGTCTACACAACACATAGATGCGCATAATAACAATAATAACAACGATGTACATAAATAACTTGATGTTGATTGAACAAAAAATGCCAATACTAAAAATGTGCATTCTCTTTACATCAACTTGACGATGTAAATACAGATGGGGTCCACACATATCCACATAATATATAGTTGACGTCCACACGTATGCTTGGCATTCATACGTTTAGTTGAAATCACGACACATAGTTGACGTCACGACACATAGTTGACGTCCACACGTATAGTTGACGTCCGCAAGTATAATAGACGTCCACACGTATAATTGACGTCCACACGCATAATTGACGTCCACACGTATAATTGACGTCCGCAAGTATAATAGACGTCCACACTTATAATTGACGTCCACACGCATAATTGACGTCCGCAAGTATAATAGACGTCCACACGTATAATTGACGTCCACATATAGAATATATGTGTGCGTAGTTGACGTCAACATATAGAATGGACGTCATCGTAGTTGACGTCACATAACACTGACGTCCATACACACTGTCCAAGACAATTCATACATTTGACGTTCATAAATTCAGTTGACATTAACAAAGTGTATACGTCCACATATATTTTTAACCTCACCAATACAGTCTATTAAATCATTTAGAAAACAAACATAAAGCACATACCCTCGTATGATATATGTTTCCCCGTCATATGGGACGGCCCAGCCTGCCTCTCTGGTGGCGTGGCACTCTGTGTCTGTTCTTGTTTACCCAGATTTTCAACTGGTAAACTCGGAAGTTTAGAGTTCGTGTTCTTTAGCCTCTCCACGTGCAAGATTTTTAATCTATCCGGCAGAAACAGGTTCACTGGTGTCCAATTCTAGGAACCAAAGTAAAAAAATATATGTTGCTACTTAAAAGATTTGTTGTTATATTACAGGGTAGCCTAATGGCGTTTATTTAACCAACATCACAGATGCGGTTATCTAGGACTGAAGATGTTAACTATTAACCAATGTAAATGTTGTAACACATATTGATTCACCTACAAATTTGGCGTAAGTTTTGGCACGTAGATCTAGCAGTTCCTCAAAGTTTTCGTAGTACTTCCTCTGCGGAAAAAAAAAGGAAATTACCTATGCATTCTATTAAATAATAAGTAATGACAAAGACGGAAGAAATGTACATCTGGTAATGTTTTTTTTTTTTCAAGTTTTTTTTTAATAATATAAATATATAATTTTAAAAATTTTAAGCATACTGCTATAGCATCATACTGGAAATGTTAAATCTCATTATTGAATAAATTAGCTAATTAATTAACTAAATATCGTTAATGATAATGAAGGGTTAAGGCACGACACACAATAGTGTGCGTGCGTGGTTATAATGTGGACTGACCGCCTGAAAGGTGATTGTTTATATTATTGTTTTGAGATTATATATAACTCAATGCAACAAGCCCGCCGGTTGGTTGAGGCAAGACCGGGGGCACGTTCTGTCAGGGATAAAAAGGGTCAAATCGAAATATCGTCCGAGTAGTTAAATCAGTATTGTGTGTTTATCGTTTACTTGAAATAACATAACACGCTCCACTGATAAAATCTCTTCGCAACTACAACAGCACCATCTTGACCAGTGTTTCTTTCAAATATTTTTTCTCCAGAATGGTGGAACTTGCTACTTTCGGGGTGGGGGGGGGGGTCGCTTTTAAATTTTGGTGGGGGAGGAGGGGGGAAGGGGGTAGGGGCGGACTTTTTTGGGAAAAATATGTACATTCTCTACACAAGATATATGTTGTTGTTTTTCTATTTCGTTAAAAAAGGAGGGGGTGGGGCAATAAACTTGCTTCGTAGAGCAATGTTTCCACCCTCTCTAAAGGTATGGCTAAAACAAACTCTGACATTAATCCAGTATAATGGTTACTGTACTCGAGCACACTATTTTGGGTATGTAAAACAAATACACACCATTTACGCTTACACAGAGGGACTAAATTCGTGTGATAGATAGGTTACCTAATACACTCTAACACACCGGTGTGTAGCACTATGTAAAACCACGTCTTACAATATGGTCAGTGCACCTGGGTGTTGTAAACATTTAACGTTATTTATACAACACACACGTACAACAATACTTTTCTCTATTTTAAATGACTTATTTTGACACCTGATATTATATCTAGAAGTTGTTCAGACTTGAAAATATGACATAATATTATCCTTCTCGATTGGATTATGGGATATTATAGCACCCTTCTAAATTTGAATACTTAACGTGACAAGAAGAATATTTCATATAATACCGGGATTCTCTTAAGGAATAATTGCCATAATGCTAAACTGTCTAATTGGAGTAGTTCCCATTATACCTTCTATTCCGGAGAACGCTAACACTAACTTTACTTGGACACACCAGTTGTGTAACTAAATCGATCAGATAAAATATTTAAACTAACCTCTTCTTTACTTTTAAAACCATTTTGTCTCCAAACTTCGATTTTCTTTGCCATTGAGGGTCATTGAACCTAGTTTAAACTGCGACCATTGCTTGTGTTAATATGATTGTGTAAAGTCTAGGAACGATTGTTGTTTACAAAGTTTAGCGTGTGTATGATCCGGCGTCCATTGTTGTCGTTCCCAGGTATCCTAGCATTGGTTGTGTAAATACGTCCCACCCCTTCCCATCCCACAACACACAGATGAACACAAAGTTAGTTTACACACATTCGTGGAGTTAAAAATAGCTTTTGGTAATACAACATTCAATTGAGCTCAGTTCATGTGGTGCTTCTAAGGTACTGTACTCGTGTTTTACAATTCTATTACCTCCCCTTTCTAACCGCCATCATTATTTGTTGATGTCAATATTAAAGGGGGAGAAGCTTTTCTTTTTTTTTTTTTATTGTTTATTGTCTAAAAATAAGACAAACACAATTTTGAATTTTTTTAAATGTAATTACAAAATAACAAAATTCCTGGTTTTTCGTCATAATGGGTTTATTGCCCTTTTGGGTACTTTATCAAACCTCATGTGATTTTTATTTATATATACAATCTATAGAGAAAACTCGCAACCACTCGGGGCTCCGAACATCAGAAAGCTCCTTCCTTTTGTGTTGGTCACCGGCAATTTTCCTGGCAGTCCCCCATGACAGTGCTGCCTCTGTCAGCTGCTACCTGTCAGTCCCCCATGACAGTCCTGCCTCTGTCAGCTGCTTCCTGTCAGCCCCCCATTACAGTCCTGCCTCTGTCAGCTGCTACCTGGCAGTCCCCCATGACAGTACTGCAGAGGCGTAGCGACCCTTCCCGGCGCCCGGGGACACATTTTTCGAATTGAACCCCCCCCCCCCCCAGCCCCTCGAACTTTCGATTTGCACCCCCCCCCCCTCGAGATTTCGATTTGCACCCCCTCAAACTTTCGATTTGCATCCCCCTCAACCTTTCAATTTATTTTTCAAACCCATTTTGGCGCCCCCTAAGGTCGGCGCGTTCGGGTACATAAGTTCCCCCCCCCCTCGCTACGCTACTGCAGTCCTGCCTCTGCCAGCTGCTACCTATCAGCCCCCCATGACAGTCCTGCCTCTGCCAGCTGCTACCTATCAGCCCCCCATGACAGTCCTGCCTCTGCCAGCTGCTACCTATCAGTCCCCCATGACAGTCCTGCCTCTGTCAGCTGCTACCTGGCAGTCCCCCATGACAGTCCTGCCTCTGCCAGCTGCTACCTGGCAGTCCCCCATGACAGTCCTGCCTCTGCCAGCTGCTACCTGGCAGTCCCCCATGACAGTCCTGCCTCTGCCAGCTGCTTCTCCCCACTGTGCGCCTCCACGTCTCCCTTGACCGTCATTGCTATCTTTTCCTTGATGTGTCCAGTTTAGCGCAGAGGCGTAGTGACCCTTCGCGGCGCCCGGGGACAAACTTTCGATTTGCGCCCCCCCCTCCCCCCTCAAACTATCGATTTGCACCCCCTCCTCAAACTTTCTATTTGCAACCCCCTCAGAATTTCGATTTGCAAACCCCCCCCCCCCCAAACTTTCAATTTGTTTTTCCAACCCATTTTGGCGCCCCCTAAGGTCGGCGCCGGGGACATAAGTCCGCCCTCCGCCCCCCCTCGCTACGCCTCTGGTTTAGCGACAACTTATACATAAAGTAAAATGTCTAAATTAAATTTGTTTTTAACCCTGAAATTTAAACTCTTTTAAAATGATGTGAAGTGAAGAGTATGTGGTTTGACGGGTATGAGTTTATAAATAGAGCTGAAATAATGTGGGGATTAAAAGAAAATAATAGTATCATTTTCTGAGCAAGCTCCGAGGTCGGCGTTGTCGAGTCGGTTAAGCTCATTGTTGCTAAAGCGAACAGTCCCGAATTAAATAAACCGGGAGTGATCTCCCCTAAACTTTCTCGAATATTCTAATATAAAACTACGAGGGATGGCAACTCAAGACATAGACAATATTTGTAATCCATTTTTAATTACTTAAACTTTTTATAATAGAATGGAATCTCGTAAAAAAAAGAATTGCACACCAAGTGAACGCCTAATAAAATGTGCGTAATAGCGCGGGATATTATTAGTACTTTATAAATTTACGTGCGTTTTTTGAGAAATAGGAATTAGCGTTAATTAGTACTTCCGGTCAACGGAAATTACTCAAAATTTAACAGAAGGTAGAAAATTAGATCTTTTTTTACATGTGAAATTTCATTTATCTGTCTGAACTAGTACTCAAGTTATAGGCTTTTAAAAAATTCAAATTAGAAAAAGTACCACTTCCGGTTATCGGAAATCGCTCAAAAATGGAAACGGATCTACGATTTTGATAAAATAGTTTTATATGAAATTTCATCAACCTAGCTGTAACGGTACTCAAGTAATCGCGTTTACACACAGACACACAGACACAGACACACACACAGACACACAGACATACGGACAAGATTGCAAAATTATGTTTTTCCGTATCAGTGAGCTGTAAAACGTCGAGATTTGTAAAAATCTCGATTTTTTATTTTTGCACTATTACAATACTTTCTCTATACTTCGTATATACGAGAAAGTAACAAACTAACAATGAAGAATAAATAAACGCGTATCGATATATCCTATTTATATAGCAGGCCACTTACAGTGATGTAGATATAAACATCTCAAAATAAATGGACAGCAGCTTTTAGAGAGCTAGACTGCTAACCCGAGAGTCTCGAGTTCAAATCCGGGTTCAAAATCAGTGGAACGTCGCTATGGCTTACCTTACGGCTGGCCACAATGTTAACCTCACGAATTCTTCAAATGCCGAGGTATCTGAAGCAGATGAACTCCTCTTCGTCTAACCCATGTGTCGTGGACATGAACGGGAAACATCGACAACATTTACATAATTTCAGACATCTGTGAAACCTAAGGATTTAACATAATGAATTTATATAAGAAAAAAGAGGAATTATTAAATTTTTTTTTTTTTTTTTTTTAAACAATCTTTAATATCGCCTCTATAAATAACATAAAGACATCAATTCAATTTCAAGTTTACAAATACAACTTCCTAATACGAAAAGACGATCTCTCATTTATAATCTGTACATTTATTTGCCTGACCATATGCTTTCTCTACTGGATACTTTATAGCATTTGCCTCCATCTTTTTCACAACAGAAGTTGGAAGGTCAATGTGACACCTGCTTGCAAAGTCTATAAGGTAGATGAGTATATCACTCAACTCCTCACCAACATGCACCTTTTCTTCTTCACTTAATTCTGGTAAACCTTGAGTTACTTCCCCTTTCCATTGGAAAATCTCAGCTAATTCTCCTACTTCTCCAACCATGGCTAAGAGGACATTTCGAGGGCTGTGAAATTTATCCCATTCTCTTTCTTTTATAAACTTTTCATTTAGCTTCCTCAAACTTTCCAAACTCATGTCTGTAAAACAGAAGCCTTCATTTCTGTTATCTTTACTCTCGCCACTTCCTGGTTCACTTGGTGTTTCATTTGTTTGTTTGTTAACATTAGTTACTTCTTCCATTGAAAAGCTGAAATAGAGAGAATAGCCCTGTTACTGTTTCCCTTCCTTAGCTTAGCGGCTAGCACCTAAAATTATTAATTTTTTTTTTTTTTTTTTTTTTAAGTAAAAAATAATTTATTTTGGTTATTTTTCGAAAGTTAACAACAATACAAATGAAAACTTTAAAAAGGAACAAATCCTAAATGTTCACAACACACCAAGACCTATCACCCTCAAATTTATCAACAATACATCACAATTAGTATACAAATGCTTTATTTGGAAATCATTCCAATTCTTTAGGGGCATCCATCAATAAATGACTCCTAGCAAAGATGTAAGGCAAATCTTTTTACAACTTAATTGCAACTTTTATTGAAAGATAACATCAGAATAAATAGGTTTAATCCAACTAAGCTTGATCTATAAGTGCAGCAATCGCCACACAAAAAAAGTGGACTGCTAAGAGACTTGCATGTATATCAAGACGTTTCACTTGTTTTATCTGATGGTGTCTCTCTAAATCCATATGATTTGAATTCATTATTGCAATCAGATATGCCCATGCCAGTACCAATGCCACCTCCCAAAATAACGGGCCAGGATTTTCGCTTGAAAAATAGTGCTGAAAAGACAATGCCTACTCCCACTCCAGTAACAAACTTTATGAGACCATTGTATAAACAACGGTCGAGCTTTTGACCGTAGACATCCTCTGACTTTTAGCTTGGACTCGCCATGTTGGTTTATATAAAAAAAAAATAAAAAAAATTCTTTTTTTTTTTTTTTTTTTTTTTTTTTAATTTTTTTTTTAATTTTTTTTTTTTTTTTTTTTTTTTTTACTGTTAAACTTTGTTTAATGCATACTATCCTGTATAACTTATAACTATTCAGGTTATTAAACAACTCATCCACAAAACAAGACAGCCAGTATTTTGGGACACAAGTATTTAGACAACTCCAGCCTCTTTTCCCAATGCACTCATTTCAGCATTTTCTTTTTCCTTTTTAATTGCCTCCATCTTGACTCTATGTTTTTATTTAATAGCATTCTCGTGCTTCTGTATCTCTATTTCCCTGTGGGCCAAGTATTTATATCTATATACTCCATAAACAATGCCTGAAAAGAGTGCCGTCCACCTGGAAAACCTTATGGTTATTTAAATTTAAAGTCTTTTATTTACTCTTAATACTTTTAATTGTTTTTCTGGATTTTAAAATATTTCTTGGAATATGGTAAAATGATTGTATCCCTTGGACGTTTGAATACATAATGGGAAGTAATCATTTTAAAACTTGACGTAAAACATACTGTAATGTGGTAGGTATTTACTTACGTGTAAATATATATAAATATATATATATATATATATATATATATATATATATATATATATATATATATATATATATATATATATATATATAGTTGAGGCTCGATAGCTGGGGAAAACAATTCTTCTATGTGAGCGATCTTCAAAATCGAACAACTGCTGCCTTGTAGCTTGTTCTTGGTTGGACAAAGAGTATGGATGCAAATCCAAAAAGAACAGCTGAATGAAATCGGAGTTAACGGCCTAAATAGCGCTAGAAAGTTGATACGTTCAACTTAATTGGAAGGTAT